TGGGCTGTTTTGAGCACTGCTCATCAGTGTGTCCTGTCGATCAATTGTAACTCACTGAACTGGTGGTGGGCAAAATAAAAAGTAAATTAAATCATCTACCAGTTATGGGTACCTACAATACTTTATATTTACAAATTTTCTTAACACTCATGTTAATGTTTTTTTATAATTGAAATAGCATGTAATGTCTTAATTGTCTTTGCACATGAAAGACAATTTGGTTGAGCATTCAATAATAACTTCAGCAATTAAAATGTCCATACTACACATAAATTAAAAATAGAAAATAACAGCAAAAACTCAATTTTACAATGCTTGTACTTCAACTGATACTGTTCATAGTATAATGTTCCTGGCAGCATCTCAGCATTCAAGTCTTTGTTTACACAATCACCAACTGCAAGCTGGATAGTTTTAATAACCCCAAAACCATTGAAAATTTTTGAATAAATAATTAGCTGTTATCATACACAATCATTAGTATTTACATTATGCAATTTGATGATACATCAATCCCTGAGTATGAATTTCAGTTAAGAGATGTGTTATGTTGCATCTCCAGAGGGAAGTGTTTTTTTTACACAAAGTACACAACGACATTTGTTGTAAGTAACAAGTTCGCAAGAGGTAAACTGATGTATTCTTTTAGAATGTTGGATGTGGTTTGGGAATAAACTAATGACGTATGATACACTAAACAGTTTTGGATTTCGCATCAATGTTCTTTTCATACAGCTTCTTTTTACTTATGAGTAACAGCAGCATCAACAAAGGAAGGTGCAGCAAACTGAAGCGGAAAAGTCTCCTGGCAGATTCTGAATCTTTATTCTTGTAAAACCTCCATGCTAGCCATGACATGTATAAATTAATTGGTAGCGAGTCCACGGCGAATGCCCATGTGGTTAGGTTCACCACTGGCGCAAGTGTTGAAAGTGCAATTATTCCGAAACTGTAGCGTAAAGCCACTCGGCGACAGAGAGCTGGGTTAGTAGTCGCCATCATACGATATCCACCACGAGAATATTCTCCTCGTAGGTTCCAGCTGAGGGAATTGAAATGAGGGAACTGCCATGCATAAAGAAATCCTGCTAAGAGCCATGCACCTACAAGAAAAAAGATGTTTAGTTTTAGAACATTAACCAGGGCATGCCATTTGTAATTCAGATAATTTTGTAGAGATTTGAATAGCATAGCTCCCCTTAAACACTTACAGTGGAAATCGATTCTGCTTGGCAGATCAACAAAAGCAGCGTGCAACATTTTGTTTTTGTTTGGTGGTTTACTGAAACAATAATTGGGAGCTTTTAATATTGTCATAATAAGGATCTATATGGGACGTGCATGTTTATGAACACCAGGCTGCTAGCGTGAATTCTTGAATTTAAAGTAATTCAAAGTAATAATCATCAGATACATTGTCTCTGACTTTCTTTGTCACCACTTCATTTTGGCTCAGTTAATACAAATGTGTCACTATCTAATTGTCAAACTGCACTGATTGATTTAAGTTACAGTGTTCAGTTTTAGCTAGCCAGTCATTTTCAAAAGACATGACTGGTTTATTGTTGCAAATCATATGAAATTTAATAAAATCCTGACTGAGATAAATACATTTTGTAACACTGTACACAACTGAGGACTGAGTAATACAATTTAAAACAGTAGTTTGATTAGAAGCACTAGCCTAGCGCTAGCCGAGAATGTACTTACCAGGATCAAGATGCCCCATACAAGCGGCCCATCCCATCAATGGTGGTACTCCTCCTACAACAGCACCTACCCATGTATTCAGAATACTGACTCTCTTCATCGGTGTGTACACCATTGTATAGAGGGCTAAGTTACCAAGCCCCAGTACAGCAGTTAATGGATTACATCCCAATGCCAGGATGGCAGTTCCAGCAATCCCAGACACAGCAGCGAAAGTTGCGGCATGAAGTGGACTGTGAATTAATGAAATTGTTAGATGGTATAATGATAAATAAGAGGCAACTTAAACATGATATATTGTAATGGTGAAAACTAGAAAACATATACCTGATCAACTGCTGAACTAGTACTCTGTTTCTTGTTCTTGCCATCTGGGAATCATATGGCACCTCTATAAACTAGGAAAGAGGAAAAAGTTGACTACTACATATCGCATATTGTATGAGAATTAAACTGGAGCTAAATTTGTGATTATTGGGAAAAATGCTTACAAGCAACTCATCATAGCAAACATACTTGATTTATAGCGTTGGCTGAACTTGACGTCAAGAATGTCCCAAGTGTTGTGAATAATAATGTTCCAATATAAAAATCACCAGGAGCCATTACGTATCCACCAGCAGCAGTCAGCACCACCAGAGCTGGAAATAGAACAACAACCTAATTAATTACAAATGCAGAAAGTATCACTATTTGACTACAATCACTATAACTTGTACTGTTTTTGTTGTGCTAGCTCTGAGCTTGAAAATGACTTTAACAACTGATACTTTTGCAGTATAACTTCATGACGGCATTTGAATATCAACAGCTATAAAATGCAATAACAAAGTTGTATGATGATAATACATATCCACAATTACTGTAACAATACAGCCAATTTAGCATAACAATGAATAGAATGAAGGTAATTAGCATATCATAATGTTATGTCAATTGGGGAAAGCACTATACTGGAATAATAACAGATGAGTTGGAAGAATTCCATGCAAGTGACTTCAATTCTAGCAGCTCACAGACACTCACCTGTAAGTCGACTCTTTCCTAGTTGCATATAGTAGTAAGGTAGTTTGGAAAAATCTAATTTTTGTTCGGTCCAGCTCTTGTCTAGTGTAAACACATCCTTGTTGCCATCTTCAGGCTCCAGTGGACAGGGGGAAATTTTAGAAATATTGTTTACAAGAGCAGTATTCAATGCACTTGTCTTGTTACTGGGCAATGTGTCTGATAAATTAACTGGCGTATTTTTATCTGTATTTGTGACTGATGTCTGAGAAATAGGTTCCACATTTGGCTTGGCTTCACCATAAACTGTGGTTGTTTTACTTGTAATCTAAAGACAAACAATAGTATTTAGTATAGTGATGAAATAAATAAATAAATGAATCCATATCTACATCGATGAAACCCCAGACTTGCCATCTTAGGAATATCTACTAGCTCTATATGATATAAACAATAACTTCATATGATATACAGTTATATACAGTGTTCTCCCCAGACTCTAAGCCAAGCATCGCGGCTAATTTACATAACAATACATTTTATTTGCATAATTTTGTTTGCATAATAATTAGTTTCCCCAACAAACATTATAACTGCAATGAAGGAGAGATACATATCTCATATATTTTATATCATTTAAATTCATTGTGTTTTATGTGTGCATCAAGTCAAATAATGTTTGAAATAGAATAGGAAAGAAATGGAAATACTTATAGCCAATCGTGAATATATTGTTTATCCGTGGAGGTAACTGGTTCGTCATTATTTTGTGTACAAGTACAGTCAGTTTTAGTGCCAGTGTTACTGCCAGTACATACGGGGGGGGGGGGGGGGGATTTGTTTGTTAAATTTGTAAAATCTGCATGATTGCGGGTTATCAAAATATGAAGAAATTAATAAATCAATAATGACATTTTTTTTCTACAACGGCATTTCAAAACTAAAGTCAGCGATTTTTCATTGATCTGTCTATTATTTGTGTAACGCTACGATCACATAACATTGTCAGTTGATGGCATTGCGTTGAACGGGTATTCACCACTGCTGTTGCGATCATCGGTTCCTGACTTTTTTGTTTAAAAATACACAAACTTAGAATGTTTGCTTAATTAAAACAATTCATTGATGATTAACTTAGAAATTACATCAAAATCGCCAACAAAATGTTGTTTTTAAACATCGCGGAAAAACGTGCACTCTGCGCCGCCATCTTTGTTGCCTCAATCAGAATCTCCGTTGTAACCCAGCATGCATCGGTTGTGATGTCACTACATGTGTTACGTCGCCTGAGGGTGGCGTTCCTCGGTAATGACGCACTATGAATGAGGTATTTCTAGAGGTCAGGGTTCGTTTTTTCCTTGTCCATCTCGTCTGCAGTTGAATAATTTTTACTCCGATTTATTTACAGTTTTCTTTCCAATGCGACTTAATTTTATTTGTTTTTTTAATTCTTGGTAATTAGTCTCACTGGCGATGAAATAGTAAAAACACAATTAACCGCAGTGCAGCAACTCCGGATAGACCATCCCGACGCAATGGGCAAATTATTACTACCCTAGTATTTTGGGTTTGCCAGCTCCGCATCCTTGATAGACTTGGTAACTTCTTGTAGACTTCCGTTTTTATCACTGTTTTTGTAAGGCTAACTATGTACAAAGGCGGGATTACCTTTCGATCAATACATGTTATTGTTTTAAAGATGTGCTAGACGAGGCTGACACTTGTAAACAATACAACGTGAATAAGCATCGCGGGCAGGATTTCAAGGATCGCGGGCGAAACAAAAGCGACGTAGCTGTTTGTCTAAGGGACGCGGGCCCGCAGTGCTTGAAAGGCCTGGGGAGAACACTGGTAGCCAGCTGTGTAGGTGCTGTTTGCATATGTGTAGCCAGCTGCCTAGGTGCAGTTTGCGTATGTATATCCAGCTGCCTAGGTGCTGTTTGCGTATGTATATCCAGCTGCCTAGGTGCAGTTTGCGTATGTATATCCAGCTGCCTAGGTGCAGTTTGCGTATGTGTATCCAGCTGTCTAGGTGCTGTTTGCATATGTGTAGCCAGCTGCCTAGGTGCAGTTTGCGTATGTATATCCAGCTGCCTAGGTGCAGTTTGCGTATGTGTATCCAGCTGTCTAGGTGCTGTTTGCATATGTGTAGCCAGCTGTCTAGGTGCTGTTTGCATATGTGTATCCAGCTGTCTAGGTGCTGTTTGCATATGTGTATCCAGCTGTCTAGGTGCTGTTTACATATGTGTAGCCAGCTGTCTAGGTGCTGTTTGCATATGTGTATCCAGCTGCCTAGGTGCAGTTTGCATATGTGTAGCCAGCTGTCCAGGGGCTGTTTGCATATGTGTAGCCAGCTGTCTAGGTGCTGTTTACATATGTGTATCCAGCTGTCTAGGTGCTGTTTGCATATGTGTATCCAGCTGCCTAGGTGCTGTTTACATATGTGTAGCCAGCTGTCTAGGTGCAGTTTGCGTATGTATATCCAGCTGTCTAATATAATAACCTCTCACTTATTTGTTGCAGGAAAGATTTCATACCATATCCATTTGAAAAACCCTTTGTACACCAAGGTGAAGAATACAACCCAGTACCTGGTAATATGGATCTTCTCACCTCATATACCAAGGACTACCCAGAAAAAAGAGGTGACAGAGCAAAAAGTTTAAAGCACTTCCAAACTAGAAAAGTTCCATTGGATCCATTTGAGGCTGACCCCACATATAAAAGTAAGTATATCTACTTTATATTTATAGTGCAAGATTTGTCCACCCAACTGCCCTATATGATGAGCATTTTAGGTAATCCCCTTAGTTCTTGTGAGGGTCACATAGTTTCTACTGTAATTTCACCAATTCCCCTAACTTACAGGTGATGAAGCAAGAGAAATTATACATAATTAATACTTATTGGATTATTCAAATTCAAGTTCTGTGATTACCATTGTTTGTAATCCCCAAACAATGCATGACACGATTGGTCGAAATAATATTCATGAGCAATGAAAAACTTTTTAGTCGAATTGTGCCAAAATGCTTACCGATAACATACATGATAGTTATAAATTGACTAATTCTATCGTTACGAGCTGAAAGAATCGAAAAACTGATGTAAAGGTGTTTTTTGAGAGACTATTTTGATCAGACTCCAGCAAACTGTTGAAAGTAGTCGCAGGTTTTTTCTTTACCCTGATCATCGTAAGTTACAAAATTCATGGAGAATGCAGAGGCACATTTATATTTCACTCTAGTATTATTGCTCAAATTGTTTTCAGTGACTTGTGTCTCTGACAAGTTACCTAATTAGTATGCATTTTGATAAACCACAGTGTGTTTACATGTGCAGTTTGAAATGGAACAATTTTGAATGCAATAAAATCACACGTAGAACTCCACAAGATATTGTGGCGTCAAACTGGCTGTCATTTGAATTATATTGCAATAGACATAATTTTAGCACCTGCATTTTTCTAGGAAAAATTTTGTTGAGGATATTCTGTAAAGAAATCACTGAAATTATTTCATATACTCATAAAAGAAACGTTGTTGCTTTTACGATGGGCTACAGACGACTGACTTCGAAATGTTTCATTCAGATAGGATAGCGCCCTCTTGTGCCAATCCAAAGGTAGCATCTTTGTTGATTTTAGCCCCTACAACGACGTTAGAAAATAGTGATCAATGGCACCAATATTTCTATATTATATAGAAAACTAATTTATATGTATATTTTTCTTTTTTAGCTGACTATCGTAAATGGGATTTACCAGCCAGGGATTTGGCTAAAGGTTCTCATGTCTATCGACCACCTACAGCACCATTTGAAGGTCAATCAACATTTCAACGCGATTTCCAACCAAAACAAATTCCAATGACGCAAAGCATGAAGCCACACGAACTTGCACAGCAGTCAGATACACCATTTGACGATAGAACATCTCATCGCCTAGCATATATTCCACATCCTCAACAAGCACGATATGTACGCACACCAGATCGCTATAAGCTTAACCCAAACCGCTTTGATGGACTTACAACTCATAAACGTGATTTCACTGAAAAACAAGCCCCAAAACCAGACAGTTTTAAACCCTCACAGAACCCAATGCATTCTGATCAGCCATTTGATGATGCAACTACTTTCAAGCGAGATTATAAACCTCATGAAGTCTCTGCTCCTTATGTACACGTACCGGATGAGTGGTCAAGACCCAAAGGTGAAATTGACACATTGACTACTTTCCGAAGAGACTATCCTGCTCATCAAGTTCATCCAGCACGTGCAGCGAAGCCACCAGCTCGTGGTAAAGTAGATGCCGGCCCATTCGATGATCGTACTAACTACAAAACAGACTTCCGTCCTTGGGATGCACGTCCAGAAATGAGAGGTGATCCATCAAGACGACCCTACGAACATCCCAGCGTTCCATTTGAAGGAATGTCCAACTACCAGGCCCATTACATTCCTAAAGCAACTCGCCCTATGCGCAGCTTTGCACCTGATAGGGGAGCGCAAATTAGCAACACCCCATTCGATGATCGTACTATGTATAATTCTGAGTACGTTCCAAGAGAGTCAGAACCTTGCCCAGCAGGTAATCTATCGCAAAGCGGTTTCAAATTCAAGGAGTATGATGCAAGAGGACATCAACTGTACGACAAGAACGGAAACTCCAATTATGTTGAACAACCACTTAGAGCACCACAGCAACAGATTTCCATGGAAACAGCTGCGTTAGCATAATCATAATCAATTCCTAGTATCAAATATGAACTAACATTTTTTAAAAATCTTTTCAATATTTCAAGCATTTTTGGGGAGGGGATAGCTCATTACTTAAACTAACAATAGATATTATTTAAGGGAGGTACATTAAAACTGGTTTGAAATATTACTAGTACATGATCTCATGACACCAGTAAAAAAAAAAATATGATGAAAATTATGAAATTAATTGAACTTTTCCAGGATTTTTTGTCTCCCTGTTGACGACAAAATGAAAACAAAAATGGAAATTTAAGAATTATAAAAAATAAATAAAATTCAATTGCACAGCAGCAACCCTGCAGTGTCAAATTAGATAAAGAGCTGACATATTTTGTAAATATTGAAATATAACATTTTAGAATGTCAGCAAAACTTGATAATTATAGACAAATTTTTGTTCAGATTGAAGGGCAGCTCAATGTGGCATATATTTTACTAAGAGCTCCATGATGTTGAAATTATAGAATAATTTTTGTATATAGATTAATTGAGTATTTTTGAACTCAATATAATTGTCATTGTTCTCATTTTATGTTATGTTAAGCTTAGACTTTGTGTCTTTGT